GGTTACCTTATTAAAGAAAATCTTATTCCAAGAGGGTACACTAGTTTACATTCGAACCGCTAGAGGGTGCAGATGGTCACGCGAACAATATGATCAAGTCTCATTGACGCCATTGCTTTTCTTAGGGGTGGGAAAATATCTGGGCTCTGATTGGCTTCGCCGCCATCGCAAACTAGAGGTGGGGAGATTGATTAAACCGCATTTCTGGTTGCTTATCCAATGGGGGCCAGTTTCAAGGGATTATGGGTAAAGGCGGAGGAGCTAGAGAGTCGTGGGGAAGGAGGACACGCCCACAAAAGGGAGAGGAGTGGGGGAAGCCTATATTGTACTTATTCACTACTAAGAAGATCGAATTTCATAACAATTTAACGTAAAAGGAATGCAGTTCAATCTAGGAAGTTGGAAGTTGATAGATGTGATAAAGAAAATAACGTTCAAACGTTCAACTGAACTAATGAAACTGTGTCTTGTTGAATAATTTGTCAAACTTCTTATTATATCCAATTTTGAAAATAGCGAATTAATTTCGAGTGGTTCGTGGTTTTGCTAAAACTAAGATCCTTTTACGGTGTTGAAAAAAGAAGGAGTTGCACACATGGGTCACTTATTGTTTGTAATTTGGATTGACTAAACTAATGGCCAACCAACGATGTTTAAATTTGTTGCTGAGTAGTGGATTAGACCATTTGTTACAGTTTCCATTTATCTGAGCAATGTTTGTACCTTGTTAATGAATCGAGAGTAAACTAATGGTGGATATATTTTGTTTCAACACTCCCCGTGAAAAAATAATTTAATTTTTTATAATAATAACTTTTTTATATTTATGTCCTTATGAAACGTGGGGTTGCACTTGGCATATATTACCATTATTTCATCAAACTGAAACGTCTAGTATCACGATGAGCATTTCATACGAAATTTTTGAAGCAATTTGGTCGGAATACCAGGCGGTAGTGTTTTGCCATTTGTATCTTGACCACGAGATAAATAAATTAAATTTGTCTTACAAGATCCGTGTTGGCTGCATTACCATTCGATGTACGGAACTCGATGCAAAGCTGAAGCCAAAAAAAAAGAACCAAAAAAAAAAAACTTCAAATGTCCGTTTCACAACAGGAGCGGCTGCTGTTCACGATAACGTATTTTATATTTTGTTCGCGAATTATCATATCATTTTATCAAACTTACTTGCCGCCGCGCAAACAAAACAAAGTTGTTTGCGTCCTCGCGATCTTTACGAAAGGGAAAAAATGTTTTTAAAAACACTTACTTTGTTTTTCTCGAGCCCGACGGCGTGAATATTTTATTTTATTCGACGGCGTTGGAAAATTATAAGCAGGGGCAAAATAATGCAACACTTATTCGGGTTTTAACCCGACTTTTTGCTTTTGTTGGAACCGGCGGAGAGACAAATAATCAGCGTTAGGGAGGGGAGGAGGCCAATAAGGTTTACCGCAATTTTTAGTCGCTCGGTCTGCTATATACAGTGTGGTGTCAGAAGTTTGGGAAGAAGGATGTCCTTTTGGCTTAGCTTTATAACAAAAAGTAGGATATGGTACCTTGGCAATAAATTTCGGCAAGGATCTTTACTTTCAGCGTTATGAAAAAATGAACTCTACGTTTACGTAACTCGATTCAATCAAATGAAAATAAAAAATCGATTCGTGGCTAAACGATAACACCTATCGTCTTAAAACAAGAGTAACAATTTTTGAGGATATAATAAATCAAATAGAGGGAAAATAAAAGTGTTCTAGGTAAAGTGTCATCTGAAACAATTTTATTCTGTAACGATGACTTTTAGTAAATCAAGACTGTGTGTAAAATACCAGCTTATATTATTTTACCAGGTTGAATCTTTTATGCAAGCTTCCGAACTCAATTTCTGAACACCCTGTATATGAGAAATGTAGGCAAAAGTGCCGTTAGGAAAGCGAGTTTCACATAGGAAAAACAATGCATGCCGATAGACCTTGGAGACCTTATTCATGCTAGGGAACCTAAATAAACTTACACTGATATGGACACCTGGACAAAGTGGAATGGAGAAGAACCCACGAAGGATAAGGATGCACCACGATGGAAAATATCAGATTATAAAACTATATAACTGCTGACAGAACTTGTATATTTGAAGGCGGTATTTCCCTACAAACTAAGATAAAGAGGCGATAGAAAAAGGTGCTAATTAGGCAATATCCCACACCTAATGGAGATTTAAAAGAAAGTAAAAACCGATTATTTGGCTCTACGTAAATCGACATTTCACAAAGGTTATTGGCCGCCGTGATAACAAAAACGTGCAAATCAAAAGTTGCAAATTGTTACAAGTTTGTTTAACGGCAATTTTACTGCATCCATAAACGGATTTTTTACTAGCTGTAAAGATCTAAAAATTACGTTCTGCACCTGTCATAGTAAAACGCGTATACCGTTTCTCAAAGCTTCTAACGCACAACCCACGATAGCCTATTGCGCAGACTAACACGGCGTCGACGGGACAGTCACTGCCGGAATCTTGTGTCCTATGAGATCTGGAAATTTGTGGAAATCCATGAAGATAGTGGCGATATCTGGTGTTATGTGTCTTGGTCTTGGTCTAAAAGCATTCATGAAGATATGTGCAGTTACAAATGGCAACTATCGCCTGGCACAACTTAAACCTTCTAGTCAAGAGAGGAACATCTGCGATTCGATGATAAATAATTTAACGCCCCGGACGAATTCAAGACAGGATTAATTATATACGCATACAAAAGAAACCAAATTTCATTCAGACAGTTTTTACATCGATTTTTACAACCGTGGGTAGGTACATAAAAATACCATAAAAATTCTATCAGTATCAGTGCAAATAACGTCGTCACTTTATTGCCATTTTAACGGGTTGCGAAAGGAATAAAGTCAGTATTTTCGGGACACTGAGCCGGTTAAATTTATGGTCTTACATCAAAATTACGTGGAAAATGAAAGGTGTTTACGATAGATAGAAACAACATTGTCGTTTATTCGTTTACATAAAATTCAATCGAAACGCCCATAGAATTTTACTCGAAATATTCCCGTAGTGTTCCGTATTTTTCCGCATATTGCAAGTAACCATTTCAAAAACTGCAAAATGATTTAAACGATTAAACTCACAAGACATACTAAGCACAAAATAAAAAAGAGCTTTCAGATGTGAAAAAAAAAACAATAAATTAAACTCAGAATTACTGGAACCAAATTATTATGTTTTAAACGATCATTTTTTGGGGTTAAGGCAGAGAAAGAATAAACACTTAATTACGACTGACACGAATTCGGTATTGATTATTCTGGTAGCTATTCATAAGATTCAAATCTCCATGAAATTTTGTATTACATAAATTTTTCGAATATTTTTGACATTTTTCTTTCTTTCTTTTTTTTTTTCTAAACACACGGTATCGTTGGTCGAAATTTTCTCAACAAATTTCTGCAATTGAACCTTCGTTGATTTGAAACAAAATACTTACTTGCACATGACTACCGCTTGTGAAGAAAAGAACTAAATATCACTTTGTGATGGTAGCCAAAAAACGGGCATGAGTTATAAATTAATAAATAAAAATTACATAATAGAATACAAATAAATTACATATATAAATAAAAATATACCTCCAGAATGTCATTAGCATAGTGTAAACAAATTCGAAATTCGAGAGGGGACATATAAGTTTAAATAGAATTCTATCATGAGTGGTAGAAGTTTTATAAAAAGGCTTGGAAAAAAAAATACAAAAAAAGAAATTTTCAATTTTAAATGGTCAGAAATTCCGAAGAAAAAGCTTCGAGTAAAAAATTACCAACATAAAAACAAAAAATATTTTGTGCGGAAATATGTTATTTCCATTTTACAAAGAAATTTTGGAAACTTTAGAATAACGGAAATAAATTACATTAAAATTTATTTTTGCTTTGTATTAAAAAAAAAATTACACATAAAATTTTTTTATTAATTTTGCGGACTATAGAATAACCGATATCAGTTATATTCAAACAAATTTTTGCTTTGTATTTTAAAAGTTTTTCAAGAAATAAAAAAAAATATATTTCCATTTTACAAGGAAATTTTGGAGAACTATTTTAAAAAAGTTCTTCGTAAAATGGAAATGACATTTATGCAGAAAAATTTTTATGTTTCTATTTTCAGAAAAACATTCAGAATTCAGAGCAGGCATCAGTTTTAATGTATTCTATTCTAAAGCCCGGAAAATGGAAATGATACATTTCCGCAAAAGAAATGTTTGTTTCTCTTTTCATAAAGGCCTCTTAAAAGAACAAAGTACAATTCTGTATATGATTTCGGCTAAACGAAAGTTGAGCCAAAGCTTTATGCGCAAAGGCAAAATTTTCCAAAACTTTGTATTTTAGATGAACCACCAAAATCTGAAACATCGTGCGCCGCTGCCTTCAGCGCGGTCCATTAATAAACTTGTTTTTTATTTAAACCATTATCAAATTGTTTATCCTCGAGATACCCACATCTTCGTTAAAAAAAATAAGTCGAAATATCCAGCTATTTTTATCTGTTTTCGCGCCGATTGCGCAAATTCTAACTAAGCGGGATTCAATGCCATATTTCGGCAAGTCCGGAGCCCACTTGAACCAATGAGAATAACTAGTAATCGCAGAATTTTAATACGGCACCTCGAGAGAGCAATAAAATTATTATTTCAAGTCGCTTTTCGGTGTACGGCCGAAGAATGCCGATTCAATCGAGACGGTTTATTAATAACAATGTCGAGAAGTAAATAATGGTGCCACGTGACTGGTTTAGAAACTTGTTTGTGTCGCGTTACGTCGACTGTTTCACTTCGTTTCTATTGTGCTCACAATGGCGATCACAACAAAAGACTTCCGCGAGGAACAACGCACAAGAGTTGTGCGTATAAGCGTACACCTATGCGTTTACTGAAAACGTCGCTTGGCAACGCTGTCGGGACGCGAAAAAACAAAACAGCACATTTTCTTACCGAACTTGGGCTTGAGAATCTGGCCTGGTGGCATTTCTTCGCCGTGTTGTAGCGTAAGCAGATCCTTGAGCCAAGATTGAAGATCTTCTTCAGAGTCCAGCACTATACAAAAACAATCGTCCTTCGTGTAAAGGGCGATGACATGCTTGTGCTTCGTATCCGTACGTTTATTTATGTTAAAACAAGTCTTGAGCGGAATGCTACGTTTCGGCGGCAAACCGCTGCGGAATTTCTTCTCTGAGTCGTAGTATTCGAGACGCGCCAAACAATCGGGAGTTTCGGCACGCAAAACGAAATATTTTTTTCGCGATGTTTTCATCTTTTTGAGCACCGCGGTGCGGAGGATTCCGCCCGAACTAGGCAGGGCTTCGCCCGCCGAACCGCTACTCTTCACCGACATGTCCGTCGTCCGTTTCTTACATTAAATTAACAACGACGACGACAACCACTGTCACCGATCTTATTGAGAACAGTCCGACGCGGAACTCCAAGGGCACTCCGATCCTTCGAATGCGCGATACCCCAAACAATCTCGTTTGATGTCGTCGGCGAAAGGCGAAGATTTAAAAAGGAAACGCCGCCCGAACGAATCCCAAACTATATTAAAAAGGACGCCCGATCGCTTTTAATACAACGCAACCCGCGTTTCATTTAAGAATAAACGGAACAATTATTAACAATTCCACAAAAACAAACGCTCTAAATGTGACACACCACGTTTGGCTTGACTCGACAGCGACTGACTTCGCGCCAATACTAACGTGTATTATTCGTCCCGTTTCATCCATCTTGCTTGTGCCTGCCCAGGTCGGTCATGTGTTATAGACGTCTGGGCCAGAGTCTGTCTGGCATGCGACACTCGGCGCCGTCTTCAAGCTTTTTCCAGCGCAAGCCGGTTGCGAGCTTGCCTTGGGGACGTAAGTCGTTTCACAGCCCGTACCGTTAATGCGTAAAGTTGTAAACAACGAAGGCGCATGTGCCGATTCGTAGTATTCAATAACGAGGAGGAGAAACAGTGGAAATAGAGAGGCATGGTGGTAATATAAATACTTACGTACGTAGGGGAAAAGCAATAATATATCTACAGCGGTTGGGTCTGCCGTACTATTATTCTTTAGGAATCAAAACAAGGTTTGATATTTTTTTATTTGATACCAATGGCGCCCTCGACCCCGCGAATGAAGGAAATATTTTAAACGAAATGAGGTAAAAATAAAAAAAAAGTGTTTTTTGATTAATTTGTATGTCCGAAACTCCCATCGATAGATTAAAATAAGATTTTGCTGCTCTGATATAAAGAACAGACATTGAAAATATTTAAAATTATACGGGGCGCGTTACAAAAGTATGGCGTGAAAAGGTATGCCGGAAACATCTTCACTAGCGATCCAGATTTTTAAAAACTGCCTACAACATTATGATTTATGAAAATTTATATATTGGATAAAACATAAGGCATATTTTTTAATTAAATGCAGCGGCGTACCAATTTTTTTATAAATAACTGAGGTACATCATTTTAAACAAAAAATTCTGTGCATTTTATTAGAAAAAGGGGAAAATTCAAAAACTATTTACACACACTGCCAGAGGCAATCAAATTTAGTAGTATACCAATTTTTAAAATACTTTTTTAGAATTAATTAAAAAAAAAGTATATGTCAAATTTTTCTTTCGAATAATCGAAGCCAACAACTTAAGGTTTAGCTTCTTATATCTAATCTGAATGTGGCCGTGTGTGAGTATACTTGATTTTTTATTCTCGCTTAAGAGTCTGCCTTCTTGGGAGGTGGTCATCTGATTGTTCGGTCTTTTTTCGCAATCTTTTTTTGTATAAAAATATGGCTGGAAAATAAAGACCTCTTTATTTATATCCAGTTTTTTTTTTCTGGAAATCCTAAGAATCGGAAACCAAGTAAGCATAAAAAATAATTTCCTGTCAACTTCTAAAGAGTTTGTCATGTCCAACCTATATACAAGACCTACCTATTTTTCACTATTTATTCATATATTTCTAGTTTTCAACAATGTACCTAACCTAACATTTTGCATTAGATAATAACATGCACATTTTATTTATAATGAGTTCCTTATGCGTTACAGCGTTATTTTTATTGTCATTTAATTTAATTAAAAATAGGCGTTCACTGCTGAATAAATTTATCCTACCTACCGCAACTCTGTTATATCTGTTGTAAACATATGAATCACTGAATGACGTTGCAATGGAAATTGTGCTTAACAAAATTGGAAACTAATTATATACAACCGTATTGCTAGCGAATGTAGGAATACTTTTGCATCGCTCGTTGACAATATCCAGATGTAAATTTTATTACCGAAGTTATTACGTATTTTAGATTTCAGGATGAAAAAGTGTTTAAGATAACGGCAATGTATAATAAAATGAAAGTACTTAAAGCGTTTTTAAGCTCTTTTGACATTTCTGCACTCATTTGCATCACGTACACTTATGCAGATTGAGTACAGTTTCGAGCCATTGTTTTAAATATTATGTAGCTGTCAGTATACCTCAAGGCACAAGCGGATACATAACATATATAGTAAATTAATCAGAAAGGACACGACAAGATAAACTATTAAATATTTGATTGATTCGTTTAATTAAATGATTGCGGTCAATATGCAACTATTGACGGTGTACTCGCGGCATGTATACCAAGACGAAAATTATTTATTATATTCAAGAGAAAAAAAAAACACTCATATCCGTAAACATATATATTTATGCATAACTCGCCTTGACAACAGTAACTTTCAGATTGGTCATGTGAGGGAAGAATATCTTCTCAACCGCAATGTTAATTCTATATATGAGAATATATCACACTTCTGTGCATCTGCAAATCCTCCATGGGTGTAAAACAAATATAATTAATTAGCCGTTAATTTGCATTTGATTGCGAAATTAATAATTTGGTTCTCTTGAGGAAGATACCAAAAACAAAGTCGGTTTTATCTCAAAGTTTGAAAGCGGAAATTCCAACAGCTCTTGATAGACGTTTGATCCCTTTTTTCCTATATTACTTTCAAACAGCTTTTCAGTAGGATCTAACTGTAAAACTTTAACAAATACGTGGATGTCCGCAATAGTTTTGGTAAAACATTCGAACTGGTAGGGTCTCTCACAGTGCAAATTGCAATTTTTAGTTGGTTGCTTTATTATTTTTATTTTTTTCTCTTCAGCATAACATATTCCTATAGGCAAAACAGCAGAAACAGTTTGGTTGCTTTTTTGGTGAAATCAATGAATTGAATTTATATTATCTGCTGATGATGCTAACTTGGTTAACGAAATGAAAACTAGTGTTGCACATTGGATTAGTATATGCAGTTTTTAGCTATATTTTTGTACTACCAATTTTTTTTTTAATTCATATGGTTTTTAAACTTTTTGTGCTATTATAATTTTTTTTAATTTTTTGCTTTTCAAATATATTTTTAAACCTCTTTGGCATTTATAATATTTTTTAAAGTTTATAACATTTTGGCATTAACATTTTATATTTTTATGTTTAAATTTTTTTCGCCAGAGTTTTTGTAAGCAGTGACCCCCATACCGTTTTGACTATTATATGATATGGTTGTATGTAAGCAGAGAAATATGTGAATAAGTTACATATTCACTCAATGGGGTGCAATATTTATATAAAATATGAATATTATCAATTAGCTCACATTTATTTCTTAAAGCTAGTTGAAACCTAATAATTAAACAATTTTAATTTTGCTTCCATTTAATCACCATTAAATGCCTAAATAAGAACATAAACAAAAAAACAAAAACTTAAGAAATTATTGAAGTGTTGTTTAACAATTGGATATACCACAACTACACTTCGTTAAAAAGACTGCCAAATACGATATATGTATAATTAAATATATGAACCTTTTATAAAGGCAATTTAATTTTGTTACAGTATATAGGGTAGTCCGAATCGTAATGGAAAAATTAGCACCATATTCAGACTATAAAAATATTTAAAGGAGTTCACATAAACTTAGGTCCTATACTACCTCATTTCAGAAATACAAGTTGTTGAAAGATTGCGAAAAAAATCGTTTTTTATTTGAAAACAATATCTTCAAGAATTTGCTTTCATATTTGGTAGGTATCAGTGTCACCGGTGGTGTTAGTGACATATTTTTAATCAATTTAAATAATAACGAAAGTGGTACGCGCAAATTTGTTAATAAATTTAGACACCCTGATCAATTCTCAACAAAAAGGGTATCTTCAATTTTTTCGCTAAAATGAACCGTTTGAGGGAAAAAGTTTTTTTTTCATGGTCACCTAATTGGATTGCCGCTTTTGTATTATTTAAATTATTTAAAACGGACTCACGAACGCAACTCGTTAAACAAAAACGAATGGATCTATGTTAAAAATCTGTTTTAAGTAGCGAAAATACCAAACGTCTTCACTTTTCAGATACAGGGTGGAAAAGCTTTCAAAAATAGAATATATTTTTTTAATACCTGAAATATCATTTTAGATATTTAAAAGAAATTTGGCACACATGTACGATGCTTCAAGAGGCATTATTTAGTGAACCACAATTTTTTTTAAATATCTCAGTGGCGGGCGTACAGAATTTCGCCTGCCTATTTTGGCACACATTGATGGTACGCCACTGATTGAGCTTAAAATAAAAAATATTACTACAATCTCCAGTCATTTCTAAAGAAATTTAATTTCTTGATTTTTTTCAATCCGATGTACGGTTTCCTCTTTAAAAAAATAAAAACCTTTTCTCTGCATAGTGCATGCAGAGAAATTAGTTTTTATTTTTTAGTAAAAACTGTGCCACAGACTAAAAAAAATGGAGAGAACAAATCTGCTCATACATGAATGCAAATGTCTTTTTTTTTGAGGAAATCAGTGGCGTGCCACCGACTGTGTATGAACAAATAATACTTTGGTTAATTAGGTCATGCATGAACCACATTCCGCTCTTATTTAAATATGGTGCTTCTACTAGCAATATTAGCATTTAGCCTTTTTGTCAGGAAAAGGGTTGATGTTCTAATTCTACAACTGGATGAGGGTTTTTGTCTACCCAAATATGATTATTGTAAACATTTCTGATTGCATTTCTGGAAAAGTTTCATCTGTAAATAGTATTTCTTGATCAAACAAGGGATAATGCGCAATTTTGTCCAAAAATCATTGACAAAAATTAACATGCAGGGGAAAATCTCTGAGAAGTAACGCATGAACCCGTTGAATTTGATACGGCTACAATAGAACATCGTGCAAAATTTTCCAAAGCATGAAGTGCGACATATTCAGATTATCTCCAATTTTTCTAGTACTAAGTTCAGGATTTTTATCGATAGAATTTAAAACTGCTTCTTCAATTTCTAGAGTTTTTAAAGTCCGTTTAAATGATTATTTGCCCTCAAAGTGCCTAGTTTACACAACCTTCTATGTATATTTGAAAATGTCCGCCTATCTGGTATGACTCTATGAGGAGGACCAAACGATACATAAACCATTCTTTAAAAAAAAAAACAATGTTCGGATATTTTAAAAACAACGCGAAAAGCTAAATTTAAAAAGTGATATCAAACAACTGTCCAACAACAGCCTTGGCAACAGCACAGCCTACTACAATGATTAGAAATAATTATAAAGATGTCAAAAGTACACCTCAGAGTTTACGTACTTCATATTCGTACTTTGAAGTATTTTAATAAAACAGATAGACAATTAATTAATATTAATGTAAATTCTCTGCATGCTGTCATATTAACGATATTTTTATGACCATCCAGAGAAGAGGTTTTTCTTTTTTTTAAGCGAA